TGATTAAATAGATTAAAATATGCGCGTTTCCCCACTTGGATGGTGTTTCCTGCTTGTTCGAGCCTCGGGCTGAAGTTTGAGCCGCACTGAAGTCATGAAGCGGCAGCTTTTAATAACTATGCGCCGCAGAGCACTGTGCCTCAGGGTTTACAGGAATCTGCAGTTGTAGGCATTTGTAAATAAAGTCTTTCTTGGTTTTATAAGGCCTTAATTTAAAAATGTCTTTCAACATTTATTTTGTCATAGTGCACTCTAGTTTATTATCTTGTCCCTTTTAGAACAGCGCCATTGGAAAACGTTCATATTTTATTAGCGTTTTCCTACTTTTCTTATTACTACTTTAATGTTACAGCAAATATTTTTCTTTTCTTTTTTCTTTTTTTTTTTTTTTACTATTTTACCTATTTTAACTTGATATTATTGCTTCTGTTTGCTTCCTTATCTAATTGACTAAACATGACCCTCGAGGAATATTGTTACAACAACAATAAGTGAAGAAAGTATGATGATGACAATGATAATATTTATTGCTGTTGCTCTGCCTTGAGGTAAATGTTTAGTCAATTGCATAAGTTTACAAGAGAATGAACTGAGGTGACATTTACATATTGCTGTAGGTTAATTTGCATACTGTTTATTTCCACTCATTCAAGCATAACAATAGTATTCTGGTCGTTGAATGATATTTGCAGATATCTCCTTCCGGTGTCTGGCTCGATCACACACACTGGTCTCGGTGAATCCACCCTGCTATAAAGCCGCAAGATGCAAATCCCCACGCTGGAGAGGTAAGCTGTATTAGCCAACGAATGGCCACTAGGGGGCAAAGATATCTGGTGGACATAAACAGAAATTCAACCCTGCTTTGCTACATGAGATTATATTTACTGTATTATGCGTTTTAAAATAGAATTTGTCCTCAGTTTAATGGCAAAACTGATGCCACTCTGAGGTTTCTGTGTTAATTATGGAGTGACAGAGAGGCACTGTTCAACTTTACTTAACATGAGGAGACAAAGAAGGGGAAACAATGCTTTGGCGACAACAGTTTAACTTGTCGTATGTTTTGAGTAGAATAAAGCCTGACTAACTGTGTCCCCATTTCAAGACTTGATTCCATGTATTTACCCCAAAGTCGTACTGTTACTTTAATTTGAAAAGGAAGGCAAATAACAATGAGGGATTAGTTTCTTTTGACTGAAGTGACAGATCATGATTAAATGTTAAACTCTTAACAGTATACATTTGTGGGGGCAACTATTTAACTCCTCACATTTTTGTATAAAGATTTGTCACCCAGTGATGCTGTACTGACTCAGTTATTCACTGATGTAACTGTTATCCTACAGATACTGAAGAGGCTGTTTTCAAACACACTTAATAATCCGTCTGTGCTATTTCTGGCCCTCTCACATTTAGAGCGGGAGGCTTTAAAACGCAGTTAGGTGTCGGTTGAGGTGTGTGTGTGTACTAACGTGCAATCACACAGTTATGCAGGCTGTTCCGGCAGAACAAGAGACGAGCACGAGAAGAGGAGCAGCGCTACCTTACAATAAGAAAGAGAAGGAAATGGAAAATGTTTACCACTTTATCACCAGTGCAGTGACGGCCTTGTGGCCTCTGTCCAAACTAATTTAATCAATTACAGTGATTTAGGGGGAGGCGGGTTAGCCAGTTAGAAATTAAAATGTCAGTGCCTGGATTGCCGCTTGGCCAAATTCTGAGTAAGGACTCTAAAATGGGGATGTGAATGTGTCAACTGAATGGTTATTAGGCACCTGCATTGTCAGCCTGTGTGAGCCGCTGATTACAGTCAGCACCATCTTTCACCCCTGAAATCAGAGCAAACCCACCCGAAGCTTTTCCCTCCAGTGCTCTGCCTTGTTGCATTAACTTCCTGATAATATAGATTTTTGGCTTTTATTGGACTCATCACATGTGGAATACCCCTGAGGTCAGATCATAATAAAACCCCAGTGCAGTCAGGGAAATCATGTAGGCCATCAGCGGATTCAGATTCAATCGCTTCTCACTTTTTTAAAATATAAACGCTGCCTGCAAAATAAACAGTAGTGCCATTAAACAAAAGCCAAACACAAGAATGAAAAGAAATTTTCAAAAAAGGCAAAAACCCTCCTTTTTGATTCTTCTCACACTCTCCCTCCATGCGGTGGAGGTTATCAACACGCCTACAATGCATCGCCGGTGTGGATGTGCACAAGCCTACGCCACTCTCCTACTAGATTAAATCACACTTAACCCCTTGAGGCTGTTTGATTTCTCACTTTGCCTTTAAACCGATTGTGCTTTTCCATCTCCGCAGTCACAGGGGCATTTTTTTTAAACTCTTGTTTTGTTTTGTTTTCCTTTTCCGTGCAATGTTGCGCCTCTGATGTTTCCTCTGGGGGACAAAGTCTAGAAGGAGAAGGAGAGATGAAACGCTGCAAAGACAGCGAAGGCTGTTCTCCCCACCAGATCGGCTGAGGTCTGGCCTCTTTCTGTGCCAGCGTTATCACAGCTAAGCCACAGGGCATGTTCTCCAGATTGCCTGGTGAGTCACTGGGTTGTGAGTCTCAGTTGCCTGACTGTATTGTGCATGCATTTCCCATGGTTCCCTCCTCAAGAGTCTTTGGAGACTTTTAATACCACCAATATTGACTGAGATCACTTTAAAGAGCCCAGTAGTAATCAAGACCACAACATCAAAGAGCAATTAAAAAATAAATAAATTGTAAGCCTTTTAAAAATAAGGAAATGTGTTGTAACTGTTGCGATCTGTCTGTTATTTTCTCTTTACCTGCCTGCAGAGGAATGTGTTAAAGAATTTGTTCAGTATGGGTGGTTCATATTCAAATTCAATAGTAAAAATGAACATCTGAAGAGTGTCTATGTGTTTGTCCCCGCAAAGAGATACAAATAGTTTACTTAGCGATGACTATTTATTGCTGCATATCTCCATATTGCTGGAAGTGCTGTGTAAGACAGATTTTACCAATCTGTCTCTGAATCAAAGATTTGCAATTCAGCTTGACTCATTCTGTGAAATACAGACACATGGTAATTTGATGAGTATCGAATATTTGCCAGTGTTTCTGATGAAAATCTAAACGTCTAGGCTTTCCAGTGGCAGCTGTTCAAAGTGTAGAGTTCGGCCTTATTTTCTTGCATGTAGCCCCTCAACCATATTTAAAGCAATAACGTGCTGTAAAATAAATGCTCTCTATAAAGATGTTGCAGAAAAACGCATGTCACCTGACAATGAAGTCATGTCAGTCATGTCCTCTCAGGCTTAATGACCATTTAAACCACACAATGTTCCTTTTGTTCTCCCCAACAACCACTTCTGCTCCTATTCCCTTAACAGCTCACTGTTCTCTAATGGACTATAAGAGGATGGTGTTTCCAGAAATGGACCGCAAGAGCTGCCAAGACTCAACTGTCTCTCTCTCTCTCTCTCTGAAATCTGGTTAAACACTGAAACAGTCAGGCATGCCAGAAGCAATCCTACCCCGAAGACCTTTCCTTACAGTAATTCAAGCAGGAATAGTTGTAAACAAAAGTGTTTCTTTTTTGTCGGATGTGGGTGGTATTAATGCATGCCGAGAACCCTGGAAGAAGCTACAGTATAGCTCCAGGGCAATAAATGTCTCCC